TGATGATGATGATGATGATGATGATGATGATGATGATGATGATGATGATGATGGAAAACACCAGGCAAAAAGAAAACAACAGACCTTGATGTCAGGTGAGTCTGCAATGAACAGAGCTGGAACAGACACGTCTATGTCCATATTCATCTCTGGGTACAGTTTGTGAACAGAGGCGTAGGAGATCTTCAGCACCTCTCTCACAAAGGAGAAGTACAGGGCGATCACATTCTTTGTCTTCAATGAGTCAGTGATGTCATAAAGCGTCTGAAAACGCTGATAGCAAAGAAAATCACAGGCAATAATGACCTCCACCTCGTAGTTAAACATAGCCTCTCTTTGGGCCCTCACGAAGCCTCGCTGACGACTTCCGTTTCTGTTCCCGTTTCCGCTTCCGGTTTGCTGTTCTTGTCGTCTGCTGTCCCTCCTAGGAGCAAATGTCTGACGCTTCTTCAGCTTTTTCAAATGTTGACCTTCCGTTCTGAGAAGTACAGACCCGCTATCAGACGAGAAATCCAGATTGGGTGTTGAAGTCGCTAAATGGAGACGCTTCGAGTCTTTAGAGTTTGATGAGTTGAAAGGTTCGATGAAGAACTGCCCATCACTCATAAGAAAACTTCCAAAGAGTTTGAAAGAGGAAAATTCGAAATCACGGATGACTAAGAACACAGCCTGGCTGTCTTTGTCTTGGTAAGTGCGGCAGTGACGAGAGAAAATTCTGGGAATGTGGTCAACATGCACTGGTCCTGTGGACGAGGTTCGTGTCAGGAGAGGGATTTCGCCCGGGTCAGATTTCGGGGTCAGGGGTGAACTTGGACCACTATGCTGCTCTAGCCTGAAGTGCTGACGCTTTCCGCGACAAATGAAGTCTACTTCTAGACTGGAGGGCATGTGGTCATCTGATTCATCTGCTCTGCTCTCCCCATTCAGACCTCGAGACCGCGGCGAGGCAAAAGTCAAGGCTGTTATGTCAATGGGAACCAGTTCTGGGAATGGAACGTGAGAGAAGTTTGTAGTTTGAAACAAAAGGAATGTGTCCTGTTTTATTACATAGACCTGCTGTGTTTTAACCAATAAATATGACTTAATCTAAGTGCTGCTAGCTTTCTTGGACAAGGGCGAAAAATATCAGAAGAGGGGGCTCACGTGGCCTGGAAGTTAAGGTGTTCACCTCTCATTCAAAGGTCCCCGGTTCGAATCCGGGTGGCGACGGAAAAATTTTCTTCTCTAAAATTGTCTCCATTCATCTCCTTTCTTGCTCCCTTGCCATATTCTGTCGTCGGCTTTCGTCTCCACTTTCTCCTCGCACACTCTCTTCTCCTTTGCCCTTTTCCCTGGGCTCCTGACTCTTCCTGACTGCTTCTCCTTAGCTCCTTCTTACTGCTGTCTTTCAGCCACACCCCTGATCTTATGGTAGGAACTATCTACACCCTGCCTTCTCAGACAAGGGCGAAAAATGTCGAAGGTCCCGTGTGCAAGTTGCGCACATCAAAGATCCCTTGGTTGTCTAAAATCGATAAGAGAAGGCTTCGTTTGCCACTCGGGCAAAATTCAAAATTTCCTACCAGCTGAAAATGTTTAATGTGTCCCACGCGCTCATATGACCTTACGCAGTTGCGAGCGTCGTAAAACACTTACCAAAAAGAAATAAAAGATCTCAGAGGTCCCGCGTGCACTTTAAGAATATGTTGGTGGTCCTAGAATTGATAAGAGTATGCTTCGGCCGCCACCCGGTCAAATTTCCAAAATTAATTCCTTATGAAACAAACTACTCTAGTCAGTATAACAACATATAGAGTACCCGCGAAAACGGAATGTGGCCTCTTGAAGGAAAGTGGCGCTCCTAAGTAGCTAAGTAGGACAAACGGTCACAAACGTACAAATCAGTAGTTACACGGCGGGTTAGACTGCTAGAAGTCATCTACACCTGACATCTGGCAGAAGAACGCAAAGGTGAAGAATAGTGCGGTTGAACCTGCTTTAGCTGTCAGCTGTCTATGTCAGTCACCTGTCCTAACACTCACTGTTCAGTCATACCCTTGCGTTTTTCTAATATAATTGTCCTTTAACTTGCCCATAGAGGTCGCAGTCCAACTCGAACATGCTCATTCTGTCTTTTTTGGCAACATGTAGGCCTCAAAATCTGCTCATAGCGGCCATTTGCTACAAACGATTTCATCCAACCGTTCTCAGATTGTATACGTTAAATCAGTATAATAAAGATTTTATGATAGAAAATAATTTTGATCGCAAAGAAATGAAAAGATAAAATTATTAAGAATTCAAATTTCAGACCATCTGTTGACTTTGTCTTTTCGAGTAGGTGACCATAATTCAGATTTTCCCCTTCTTCAGCCCTGCCAATGATAAGTAACACGTTAAGACAAACATGTTAGAAGTCTTTGTGGAAAAGGGAGAGATTACAGTTCCCTACGCTTAGCATTGACGTCACGCGCGAGAGATGACTTTTAGTTTATTATTCCTTTCTGAAGGGGAATCTTAACTATATTAGTTAGAGTACCTTTACTTTGTATTTGTTACCAAAGTTATCTGAACTTACCTGCCTCTTTTGGCATGCGATTAGTATCAAACAGCTGCATAGCCGTAGCTCGCTGTGAGTAACTCGATGTGGCCAAGATGAGACAGACCGCCGACATGCAGCTCCAACGTGAGGCAGTCACCCCCCACCTCCCCATGGTACCAGTGTACTATTGACGCCACAATCTGGAGAAAAAGTGAGAGTTAAAACTCGTCTGTGTTCGCCTTTGTCCGTCCTGGAAAGACAGTGGATCCATCTAATGGATGGAGTATCAACGCTGTAAGATTAGATAATAAACACTTTATTCGTCCCATGATGAAAGAAATAATGTATTCGTTTGCTTCAGCCTGATGCTTGCTAATGACAGAATATTATACGTGTGTATATTATATTGTGTGTCAAACACCTTCTCATGGTCCATGAAGACAATGTTGTCGTCTCTGACTATGACATTATTCTATAATGCTATCTAAAAGAGTTTGCCAAACCTATTCCCATGGCCTAACATAACACATGTGATATAGAAACAATCCTTTTTATTGGAAGACAAGGTACGAAGTATCTTTTGGTCACCTTTCATTTGAGTTTGACTCTACCAAAGAGGAATCACATTTGTACTCGTATAATTTGTTGGCGAAAGGCAGCACCAGGAGGTGAAATTCAAAGAGAAGATTCCGGCCTGGAGCTCATTTTGTGACGTATTGTTGTCAAATGGGGAATCTCTCAGGCAAACATTAATTGGTTTAACTGAGGAGACAAATGGTCGCCGACATTCGTCATTGTCGTAAATCAAAATACGAGGTTTCCAAGAGTAAGCAAAAACTATTTTATGTTGTTCAGGACACTATAATATTGATACAAGATAATGTTTAAGTTGTGTATTTTTTAATTATTTAAAACGGGAAATGAGACTAGTATAGTATAGTATAAGGTTTTACGGCGCTCGCAACTGCTAAGGTCATATGAGCGCAAATGAGACTAGAACCAGTCGATGCGCCTTATCAAAGTCTACAACATACTTGATTTTCATTTTTTTTCTCGAAATGTTAACATACTGCATTGTTGAATGAGGCCTCTCATTAACTCGGTTTGTATAATGCTGGGCCACAGAGCGGGTGGTCGTGGATCGAATCCCCTACTGAGTGTTCTTGAACCGGAGTCGTTTTGTGGAGTTTTTAAAGCTCTCAACCCATCCTGCTTGGTCTTATCGGAGGCGGGCTTTAAATTAGGTGGTCCCGCCTTTTTACAATGAATAATGGATAAATAATAAATTACATTTTCTTAACCCCCGTGAGAAAAATTGATTTCAATGACAAACATACGTACGTAAATACGTAATAAGAAATACATACATGATACGCAATAAAACACCAATACAGAGCAATTTCACAAACATGGTATTGCTTGGCACTGTGCAGCGTCCTGTTATTTGAGTTTGGGTTGTCTTGTCTTACTCAAAGACACACCCCCAGTGGCCACCCATCTACATCCCGTGTCACCGACACCTGCTTGACATTACTACCACAGTCTGCACTCACAACTCACTTAGCCACCGGAGCCCCTTCTGTTAGTGTCGATAGAAGCGTCAAACCCAAACACTTACTTACTAATGCTGAATGATAGCGACGAAATGCTGTATAAGAACAAGAAAACATAGGTTCTACTCACACCTTTACATTTGTTCATAGTTCCTAACTTACCTGCTTTGGTCACCCTGGAAGAAGGAAAACACACATAAACGCAGTAGCAGCTGACCTCTTCAATCCTATAGAAGAGGAAAAAACTTAAATATAATCTTATCTCGGCCCTTAGGACTTGTGTGTTTCCCAAAAGTTTAGAGTTAAGTAATGTTTATTATTCTCATTTCCATTCTCATTTCTTTCCCCTTATTTTTACTGTTATTATTACTATTACTATTACTAGCACTACCACTATCATTCTCACTATTAT